AAGGATAAGGAAGGGACAAGAAAGCTGGTGATAGGGAACCCAAGGTTGAGAAGGGACAGTGTTGACATGTCATGGGGTTGTTAACCATTGTCACAGGGCAATATGTGTACTAACTGTTGAATGAGAAACGATTTGTTTTGTAAACCTTCATCTAGGGTACAAAAAAAAAGAATTAGCTATGTGAGATCAAATTGACAATAGCAACTCAAAAAGGTTTGATGGGAAGTCTAGGGGGCAGTGAGTTGAAGATAATGGTGATGGAATAATTTGGAAAAGGAAAGTGAGAACAGCAGCACAGCTGGAAGAATGTAATAGATGTCACTTAATTGTACATGTAGAAACTTTTGAAATGGTGTAACTTTGGCTATGTATATTTTCACCAAAAAAAAAAAAGCTCCTCCAAGGTCAAAAAGGGAGAGTGTTGACATGTCGTGGGGTTGTTAACCAATGTCATAAGATGATATGTGTTCTGACTGTTTAATGAGAAACCATTTGTTCTGTAAACTTTCACCTGAAGTACAATAAAAAAAATAATAAAGTCAATTTCTATGTACTGATTTGGAAGAGATGTCTGTAATACCAAATTGCCCAATGAAAAAGGCAAGATGCAAATGACTGTGATCCCATTTATGTAAAAATAAAACAAAATGGACTCAGTGAAGATGGATGGCTATATGAATAAACACGAGAAAAAAGCCTGCGAATATATAAACATCAAACTACAAAAGTAGTTACCTCTGGGAAGTGAAATGTTGGGGGGTTCTAGCTTCCACTGTTGACCTTAAACACTTCTATACTGCTTGATTTTTTTAAATTGTGATAAAATATAACATACAATTTGCCATTTGAACCATTTTTAAGTGTACAACTCAGTAGCATTGATTATATTCACAATGTTGTGCAACCATCACCACTAATTATTTCTAAAACTTCTCATCACCCCCAAGAGAAACTCTGTATCTGTTAAGCAATAACCCCTCATTCCCAATTTCCCCCTGCCCTAATCTTTGTCTCTATGCACTTGCCTATTCTAGATGTTTCATGTAAGAGGGATCCTACAATGTCTGTCTTTTGTGTCTGGTTTATTTCACTCATCATGAGGTTTTCAAGGTTCATCCATGTGGTGGCATGCATCAGAACTTCATTTCTCTTTGTGGATGACTAATATTCCACTGCATGTATGTACCATATTTTCCTTTTCCACTCATCTGTTGATGGACATCTGGGTAGCTTCCACCTTTTGGCTATTGTGAATAATGCTGCTATGAACATTGGTGTACAAGTATCCGAGTCCCTGCTTTCAATTCTTTCGGGTATATAGCTAGAGGCAGAACTGCTGCTCATATGGTACCTACGTTTAACTTTTGAGGAACCACCAAACTGGTTTGTACCCACCAGCAATGGATGAGGGTTCCAATTTCGCCACATCCTCGCCACCACCTGTTATTTTCTTTTTTCTTTTTCTAAACCTTTATAATAAACCCAAAAACAAACCCACCGCCGTCTAGTTGATTCTAACTTATAGCAACTCTATTTGGACACGGCAGAACTTCCCCGTAGGGTTTCCAAGGCTGTAATCTTTATGGAAGCAGACTGGCACATCTTTCTCCCTTGGAGTAGCTGGTAGGTTTGAACCCCTGATCTTTCAGTTAGCAGCCGAGCACTCAACCACTGCACCACTAGAGCTCTCACGCCTAATAGCATGGCTATTATAAAGACTGAGGGAGCCCTTCAGGTCGTCTGTTGGAAAGCACCTGGTGTGAAGTGGTATCTCAGGTGGTTTTGAACTATATATCCCTAATGACTAATTTCCCTGATGATGTTGCACATCTTTTCATGTACGCGTCATCCATTGGTATATATTCTTTGGAGAAATGTCTATTCAAGCCATAAAAAGGAATGAAGTACTGATGCATGCTACAACATAGATGAACCTAAAAACATTACACTAAGTGAAAGAAGCCAGACCAAAAGGCCACATATTGTGTGATTCCACTCAAATGAAATATCCAGAAAAGGCAAATCCATAGATAAAGTAGATTAGAGGTTTCCAGGGGCCGGGGAAGAGAGAAGTGGGGAGTGACTGCTAATACTGTGAGGTTTCTTTTCGGGGTGATAAAAACATTCTAAAATTGTGGTGATGTTTGCACAACTTTGTGAATATAAAACCATTGAACTGTACACTTTAAAAGGATGAATTTTATAGAATGTGAATTATATCTCAGGTTTTTAAAGAAGGAATGGCTTGATGTTTTTACTGGGACCATAAATATCCCTTTTCCAATTTTGAAACCTGAGGTCAGAAACGCTCACCCCACAGCATAATTACCTGAACAAGAAAGACGGTGTCAACAACCTGGGAGTGTCCGTGGTTGTCAATGTAGGTCTTTAGGTAGAAATCCGAGAAGAACACCACCTGGGCTAGGAACGCAGCGCTCACGCTGGCCAAGGTGGCCACCGAGGCCGTCAGCGTTAAGAGGTAGATGAGGAAGTACCTGGTGTTCCAGGCCCCAATGCAGTTGTTCACCCAGATACAGTGATGGTCAAAACGGTGCACACACCTGTTACATACCCCTGCACAGAAACAAGGAAGCCACACCTGGGTTGGCTCTTGATGAGACAGTGGCCCTGTGCACACCCGCGGAGAACTGTACACACTGACCACTGGCAGCACACGTTGGGGACGTGGCAGCTGCTGCCAAGCTGTGAGCACTGCACTATCCAGTACAGCAGCCACCAGCCACATGGGTGGACTGAGTGTCAGACACGTGGCTACACAGAAAATCTGAAAAGATACTTGATGTTGATATCGGTAAATTTAGAGTTGCTTTTTAATGTATGCAATATGCCTTTGAATTCAATGTGAATAATGCTGAGGTGGCACCAAAAAAACAACAAACCCGTTGTCGTCGAGTCTACTCGACTCATAGCGACCCCATGTGTTACAGAGTAGAACTGCTCCACGGTGTTTTCTGGACTGCAATCTTTACCGGAGCAGATTGCCAGGCCTTTGTTCTGCAGAGCTGCTGGGTGGGTTTGAACAGCCAACCTTTAGGCTAGCAGTCGAGCACAAGCCATCTGTGCCACCCAGGGACCTGAGGTGGCACAAGAGTTAGTGAATTTACTTAACTTGGACAGATATAGTTTGGGAACTGATATGTTTTTGCTTCCAAGCTAAATCAATTCTTCTGATAATGACAAACCATTCTGTTACTGTAGATGGGGAGAGTAAAGGAAAACGATTGCTTGGTCCTCGAGTCAGCTATGGGAAAACTTCTAAGAAGGTTTGGAATAGCTTGGGTACGTGAATCTACTTTTTCAACTGTAAATGTTATGAAATATAAATACAGATGAAGTCTTTCCAATGAAAATTTAGCATTTGAATTGAGTGGTGCTATAAATGTAAAATACACACCAGATTTCAGAGTCTTAATATGAAAAACAAAAAATAAACTATGTCATGAATAATCTTTGTATTGATCACATGTTAAAATGATATTTGGGATATGCTGGGTGAAATAAAATATATTGTTAAAATTAAGTTCACCTGGGTCTCGGTACTTTTGTAATGTGGCTACTAGAAAATTTAAAATCCCATCTGTAGCTAACGTTTTTCTTTTATTGGGCAGCACTAGCCTGGAATCCCGAGCACTGCCCAGAAGACTGGGCTGTGCCAGGACTGAGAGCACGCACATACCCTGCAGAAACCTCTCGTGGGCAGCTTGCCTTTCCATGTGGCAAAGGCAGGGCTGTTATGTCCAGGCCTGAGGGTCACCCAACTCTACCAGAACACAGACTTCACCCCCAGTCACCTGAGAGAAACCACTGTCCGGCCTCCACCAGCAGTGGCCACCGCTCGTCTGGGAGACAGATGTCTCTGCTTTTAGATTTATGGGACATTACCTTACAGACAAAGCATACATGGTCCTTTGTGGGGGGCAGCTGGGGCAGAGAATGCCACACTTACTGCAGTGCTTGGATCGAGCTGGCTTCCTTAAATCACAAGTGGGACACCTTACGTTCTTCGGAAACATCAAGTCATCAAATTCATACACTTGAAGAAACAGTAATTCATTTGCTTTTGTTATGGTTCCTGAAAAAAAGTAAGGACAAATGTCAGTTTCTAGCAAGACTGTGGACTCGACGTTCACAAAACCTATTCCCACATAGCACAACTAAAACAGCTATATTTAGCATTTTAAATAATTTATTTTTGTAACAGCTTTCTCGAGATATATCCACATACCTTACAATCCAACCATTTAAAGCGTACAATTCAATGCTATTTAGTATATTCAGGGTAGTGCAACCATCACCACAATCAATTTTAGAACATTTTCATCACCCTAGACAGAAACCCTGTACCCATTAGCAATCATTCCCTATTTCCCCCTCTTCCCTCCAGCCCTCCATAACCACCAGTTTACTTTCTGTATGGATTTGCCTTTTCTGGACATTTCATATTAAGTGGGATCATACAATATTTATCCTTTCGTGACTTGACATATTTCACTCAGCATAACAATGTTTTCAAGGTTCATCCATGGCGTAGCATGTATCAGAACTTCGTTTCTCTTTATGGTTGAAAAATATTCCATTGCACGGATGGACCACATTGTAATTATCCATTCACTGGTTGATGGACATTTGGGTGTTTACTGAGAGTATCATCATTGACAGGAGCCCTGGTGGCACGGTGGTTAAAGTGCTTGGCTGCTAACCGAAAGGTCAGTGGTTCAAATCCACTAGCCGCTCCACCAGGAGAAACACGTGGCAGTCCGCTTCCTTAAAGATTTACGGACTTGGAAACCCTATGGGGCAGTTCTACTCTGTCCTATAGGGTCGCTATGAGTCGGAATCGAACTGACTCAGTGGCAATGGGTTTAGTTTCTGGTTTATCATCACTGACAGTATCCTACGGACCACAGCTCTATCTATAACACAAATAAATGAAAAATACGTATCAAAAATATAAACTAAAAAAAAGTATACTGGAAAATTTTAAACAGTTCTAAATAGGCCATGGGTCAAAGAAAAAAAAATCAAATCAGAAAATACTCCAAACTGACAGATAATGAAAACACTAGCTATCAAATCTCGTGCAGAGAACTTAGAGAGTGACCTAACTGTCCCTTACTACTTGTTTGCAGTGCCATCAGTAAGATGGACTGTCACTACTCTATACACAAAGAGCTTCAATTTACCAGGGTTGGTTACACAACTCAGGGTGAAAAAGAACAGGTTTACAAACAGCAGCAGATAGGGCAGAAGAAGGTAATACAAGGAGAACTCCAGCTCTTGACAGTAGCCAAGTACTTCCCAGGTGTATTCAGTATAAACCATCCCTTGCAAGACGAGGTGCAGGATAATGAAGGTGTGGTTTCTGAAAGAAGACAGGCATAAGGCTTATTCACTTGGATTCTCCATGAAGAAATCTTACTGAGGAAAGCAGCCAAGTGCTAATCACTTCCTTTGGGCTTAAGATAATAGGGAGAATTCTGCAGGAAATCATGTCAAACATTTCACATAGTGCACAGCACATACTAAGTACTCAATAAATATTATCTACTATTACCTTAGAAACCCTGGTGGCATAGTGGTTAAGAGCTATGGCTGCTAACCAAAAGGACAGCAGTTCGAATCCACTGGGCACTCCTTGGAAACCCCATGGGGCAGTTCTACCCTGACCTATAGGGTCACTATGAGTTGGAATCGACTTAATGGCAATGGCTTGTTTTTTTTTTTAATTATTATCATCTTTCTTTAGAACAGAGATCTCAATGTCAGAATATATTTCTTTTTACTGAACTAGGCACATGTCAGTATTTTCCCACTCTTTAAATATTTCTACTTAAAAATTGTTAGTTGTTGTTAGTTGCCACCAAGTCAGCTCCAACTCATGGTGACCTTACGTATAACAGAATGAAACATTGCCTGGTCCTGCTCCATGTTCATGATCATTGGTATGTTTGAGCTCACTGTTGCAGCTATTACTATTACTTAAAAGTAGACATGTCAAAACCCCAGACTCACTGTATCTCTTATTTTTGTGAATCTCTTTAAAGGGTTTGCCATTCAAAAATTGGCCACCTACCAAGAGATAGAAAGGGCCACATAAACCGGAGACTGCGACAGCCTGAGACCAGAAGAACTAGATGGTGCCCGGCTACCACCAATGACTGCCCTGACAGGGAACACAACAGAGAGTCCCGGAGCGAGCAGGAGGAAAGTGGGGTGCAGAACTCAAATTCTAGTAAAAAGGGCAGACTTAACAGTCTGAGACTGGAGGAACCCCAGAAAGCATGGCCCCCAGACTCTTTGTCAACCCAGCACTAAAATCATTCCTGAGGCCAACTCTTTAGTCAAAGATTAGACTGGACTATGGGACATAAAATGATACTCATGAAGAGTGTGCTTCTTAGCTTAAGTAGATACATGAGACTAAATGGGCAGCTCCTGTCCAGAGGTGAGATGAGAAGGCAGAGAAGGTCAGGAGCTGGTTGAATGGACACAGGAAATCAGGGGCAGAAAGGAGGAATATGTTGTCACAGTATAGGGAGAGCAATTGGGGTCACATAACAATGTGTGTATAAATTTTTGTATGAGAGACTGACCTGAATTGTAAACTTTCACTTAAAGTACAACAATTAAAAAAAAAAAAAAACTTGGCCACCTATAAGCATGTTTCACTTTTAACAAAACCCAACATATGAAAATGTACATTGGGTAGTCACTACTCATCTGATAGTAACCACACGTGATATTCACCATTCCTGTGGAATTTAAGAGCTGGAAGGAACCACAGAATAATGTAGTCCACAGTGTTTTGTTTCATCTCCAGCAGATAGGAAACATCACAGAATTTCTAATGTTGAAGGTTCTTTAGAAAACACTCAGTCCACCCGGAGGTCACCTTTCAGCCAAATAATAGATCAGCTTATAAAATAAATAATATCGCCATAGAGTACTGTGTTCCTTTAAATAATCATCTATATGAAACCAAACAGTCAATATTTACTCTAAAGCAATGATGAGAAGGTAAGAGGGGTGGGGGGTAGGGAAGCTAGATTAATGGAAATAGAAACAGAACGGAAATAATGAGAATGCTGATACATTGTGAAAAATGTAACCAATGTCACTGAATAATATGTATAGAAATTATTAAATGGGAACCTAATTTGTGACATAAACTTTCACCAAAAATACAATAAAATAAAAAAGAAAACACTTAGTCCCATTTCCTCATTTTTTTTTCTAACGAGAAAACAAGTCCAAAGTAGTTAATTACCACGGCCAAGGCTGCAAAATCAAGATGTCAGGGCTGGCATTAGTGATAACGAGTCCTTTTTTTAATTGTTACTTACATGAATCATTTATTATGGGTAAAACAAGATACATTTGGCACTTGACAGTATGAAGTTGGAATGCTCCCAAACAGCACAACCAAATAAATACAAAAAAATTTTGTGGGAAAACAACTTGACCAAAGTCGAGGATGTTCACCACTCTGGTTGGCATTCAGGCGCACATTAGCAAAATGATGGCAGGTGTCTTCATAATTTACCCCCCTTCCCCAGGACCCCTTGTATGTCCTATGTTGGGTAACCTACAAAGTGTGAGACTGCCTACTCGTAAACCAAACCAAATTCGCTGCTGTGGAGTCGATTCCAACCCATAGCGACCCTACAGGGCAGAGAACAACTGTCCTATAGAGTTTCCAAGGAGCAGCTGGTAGATTCGAGCTGCTGACCTTTTTTGGTTAGCAGCCACCAGGGCTCCAAGAGTGCCTATAACCATCCTCTACTCCTAGACAGGCCCCACCCACAGCTGCTCAGCCCCGCCCACCCTCTACATAGACCCTCACCTGGCAGAGGCACTGGGTCAACTGAGGGAGGCGGCTACAAAGACGGCGTGAGTGGACAAACTGGATGCCTCCATGCCACAGCCATTTCAGATCTCCCCACAAAAGGTTCTGGATCCCCATCTGGCTGTCTGACTCAGAGGTCTCAGGACTATTCTTTGTCCTTCTCCTTCCCCAGTCTCACCCTCCCCAGGTCACCCAGAACCCAAAGGAGTGGGGTGGGGGGGGCAGCCAGGACTCACCTTCCCATCTCATTCCAAAGGCTGGTCCTTTCTCCTGTTGTGTCACCTCCTCCCTGGACCATCAAAGCCACAGCCCCAACACTCCCTCACAATGAAGCCATGCAATCGCAAAGCCTGCCGGGACTCGCCATGCTGACTGCCCTCTGATGCCCATGTCTACTAATGTCCACTCTGCTGGTTCAATTCCCTTAGGCTCCTAGCATCCCAGCATGGGGGCAAGGAGGCAGGGTATCTGTTATATCCTCTGAGGGCCAGAGCTGTCCTCCAAGATGCCTGGTAAGTAGCCCCATGTTGTAGGCCACAAAATCAGTTCTGAGAAACGAATGGAACTCCGGTATAGCAGCCAAATGCTTAGCATATTCTTAGAGGTGCACCGCTTCCCTCAGAAAGCATAGAAATGGGGTTCCAACTGTAGAGTGTTCAGCACCCACACTGGGATTTTACTGGGAACTTACTGACAAATAGAACTCGGTACGCTATGGAACCATGATGGAGGAATCTAAGAATGAAGTTCCTTTTAATCAAATTGAGAAAACTCAAGAATATACCTGAGTGCACAAAAGGGCTACAGAAAGCAGAGAGGGCCTCTAGGTTGTCAGGGGCAGGACTTCTGCCAACTCTGCAGAGTGAGAGGTGGGCTCCCCTCCTCCGCGTGCCTGCATTCCTCAACTGTCCTCCTCATCTCTTCTTGCTCAGTCTCCCTCTCCCTCCTCTGCCTCCTTCTCATCCTCCCCTGCACACCATCATGCCCTGCATGCCTGGGCAGCTGTAGGCAGGCTAAGCTGGTGACTCTCAGCTTGGCCGCAGGCTGACAGCCAGCTCCAGAGTGTAGTGCCAGAAAGTCATGGAGGGCCGCTCAGCTGCAGCTACAAAAACCCTGGTCAGGTCTCCGGGTACTCCTAGGTGGCATCATGGCCAACTAAAAACAGATGTCGCTGAGTCAATTCCAACTCATGGCAACCCCATGTGTGTCAGAGTAGAACTGTGCTCCGTAGGGATTTCAATGGCTGATTTTTTTTTTTTAATAGATTGCCAGGCCTTTCTTCCACAGCCCTTCTAGGTGGACTCGAACCTCCAACCTTTCAGTTAGCAGCTAAGTGTGTTAACCGTCTGCACCACCCAGGGATTTCTATCACGGCCACAAGGGACTACGAAATACTGCAGCTCCAGCTGTGTGAATTTTTTCTTGTTCAGTGTACATCTGTTTGAAAACAAACGGTAATGTTCACATTGGAACTTATACAATCATGTCTACCCAGAAGGTTGTTGTGGGAGTTCAATGAGATGATGACGTACGTAAAGAACGTAAGTGTTCATAAGTACTTATTATTACTGTAATTGTTGTTGTTAGCATAGTTGACGTGGAGTCAATTCTGACACGTAGCAACCCCATGCGTGCAGAGTAGAACTGCTCTGTAGGGTTTTCATGGCTGCAACCTTTCAGAAGCAGTTGCCAGGCCCTTCTTCTGAGGTGCCTCTGGGTGGGTTTAAATCGCCAATCTTTCAGCTAGTAGTAGAGCACTTAACTGTTTGTGCCACCTGAGGACCTCTGTTACTATTATGACATCTCATTTTCCAGCACATTTGACATTGTTTTAGTGGTTGCTCAAATGACAGTCACAATGTATCAATATCCTCCATGATTTTCTGGTTATCTCGACTTTGGTGTCAACGTGGGTCTGATCACGAGTGTGGATGTGAACCCACCCTCTGGATGGGGCAGCACGTCTGTCCCGCCAGTTGAACCACCTTAACCGGCGAGCATGTGCACGAAGCAGACAGGTCAAGTCACGTGACCTGAAAGCCCGAGAGGGACTTCCAGAACCCTCGAGTCCACCTCACCTCAGCTCCCACCTGCAGAAAATGCAGCCCCAAAAGGAGACGCGACTCCTCCCATGGCCACACAGTGGAGTAGTGGAGGTTCCAAACCCAGGACTCTGAGCCTTCCCAGTGACCTTCCCCCACCATGCTGGAAACCACAGGGAGCTTCCAGAAGCTAGAAGTTAACCATCAAAACAGAAAAAGGATAATATGTAAACTAAAATATAAATAAAAAGTCCATTGCCATTAAGTCAATTCCAACTCATAGAGTCCCTATAGCACAGAGTAGAACTGCCCCACAGGGTCTCCAAGGCTATAATCTTCATGGAAGCAGACTGCTACATCTTTCTCCTGAGGAGTGGCTGACGCATACAAACTGTCAACCTTTCAGTTGGCAGCCAAGCGCTTAACCACTGTGTCACCAGGACTCCTTCTGAAATATAAATACCGTGTATGAAAAAGGTAATGAAGTAATCTTTGCACGGCTCTCTGAAGGCATTCTGGAATTATACAGGAAAATATCTGAAATAAAAGAAAAAAGAAAGGCTCAATTTCATTTCTGATTCCTCCCACTCCCAAACAAATTAGACTCTCCATGTATGTTATTGTGTGCCATCGAGTAGCTACCAACTCACAGCGACCCCATCTGACAGAGGAGAACTGCCCCATAGGGTTTCCAAGGCTGTAATCTTTACAGGAGCAGATAGCCAGGTCTTTTCTCCCACGGAGCCACTGGGTGGGTTCAAACCACTGACCTTTCTGTTAGCAGCAGAGCGCTTAACTGTTGCACCACCAGGGCTCCTTTCTCCATGTATAAATGGCAACATTGGTAATACTAAGTTTTGTGTTAGCATGTAGACAGAGAAGAGATTTAAGAGGGAATAAAGAGAACATTCCTCAACTACCAACTCCTCCATTTCTGCCCTGATCCCAAAGAAGGCTCCATGTCAGAGTCTTTAGGGAAAAGGAGGGGAGCGGAAGGGATGGATCAGTAACATTAGTTCAAGCCCAGGCTCTGGAACCTGCCCCCAGATCACTAGGCACCTGCCCATGTCAACTCCTTCCTAAGGACTGCTTGCCCCACTTTGATCCCTGAAGGAAGAGGGTGGCCTGACGCTCAGCTTTCTGACCATATACCCCTCCTCCAGTTTCATCCATCAAGCCCCTCCAGGCAGACAATGCCTACATCCACGTCCCATTACAGGCATCAAATGCAGGGGAAAACAGTCAACCTTGAGAATGCTATCTTATAATCGCAAAGAATCATCACTAGATTACTTTCCGCAGTAACCAGAGAAAGTGAGAGAGACTTTTGAATATACCACAACTGCCATAAATAAAAGAATAAATGAATAAAAATGGCATCCTTTTTTGTCCTGTCAGGACCCCGGTGAGCAGTATTCAGAGTTGAGTGGTACCAAAGCATCACTGTTACCTGTGCTCCTCCCCTGACCAGGCCTTTCAAGAACTGGGTTCTCGAGTAGATACAGATCAGAGTAACACCAATCAGCACCAGAGCCAGGTAGAGCAAGAAGAGAACCAGGAAGTCCATCCTGGGGGCTACAACAGAACAGAAGGAGAGTGATCATCTGCTGCTGAGGGATTCATTCCAGGGCGCATATCCTCAGACACTGACTACCTAACTGAACTGGCTCCCCACACTGAATGTCATCCTTCAAAGCACACACCCTAGAGCCTGCTACTCTTTGGTGGGGTCCCACACAGTCCTCAGCCCCCTCTCTTTAATTTCCCAATCTAATGCTGGAGTCTGCCTTTGGGACATCACTGGCTGGCAAATTCCAAAATAAAGTGTACGTGGTGGGGGGGAATGCATCCACCCTCCCACCCTCAGCAACAAATCATTCTTTTACTTCTTTAAATATAAATATTCACATAGATATTGATACAGAATGTACCCAGTGATTCTACTAGACAAAGCCATTGGAACAAGCACCCCCACATGCAGTCGAGGGCCATTCCCAGAATCAGGCTTTGTGTTCTATGATGCTTCCCTACAGGACAATTGCCACAACTATCAGGGATCATCCAATGGGACCAGAGTCAGTCAACACAAACACATAAAACCAAACCCACTGCCGTCGAGTCAATTCCAACTCATGGCAACCTCATGTGTTAAAGCCTAGAGCTGTTCTATAGGGTTTTCTTGGCTGTAATCTCTATGAAAGTAGATTGCTAGGCCTTTGTTCCATAGCGCTGCCTGGGTGGGTTCAGACTGCCAACCTTTAGGTTCGTAGTCAAGCACAAACCACTTGCGCCACCCAGGGACCGGTCAATTCACAGACTCAGGCAAACTAGCCTTTAGCAGTGACCGGACCCAGCATCCCAAAAACCCAACCATCACCACTGTCGCCTGAGACTGCCCATGAGCTGACAATGGCAGAAAGGCTAAGCAAATGTGCCAACGGCACCAGTGCCACACACACCTTGTGTTCCCTCTGCAACTTAATTCAGTTTTTGTGTGTGGTGCCAGAAGCACTGACTTGTCTCCAAGTGAACAAATGAATTCTTCTCCATAAACCAAGGTACTTGATAAACTGGAAATTGTTACTTTTGGCCTTAGCAGATATGATTTTGGGCAGGAATTCTGAGAGAAAACCAAACCAGAAACTACTCATATGATTATTATTGTTGTTATTGGGTGCGGTCGAGTAGGTTTTTGATTCATAGCGACCCCATGTGGCAGTATAGAACTGGCCCATGGGATTTTCTAGGCTGTAATCTTTACAGGAGCTGATCACCAGGTCTTTTCTCCCTCGGAGCAACTGGGTGGATTCAAACTGCCAACATTTTGGTTACCAGCTGAGTGCTTAACAGATGTGACACAGGGCTCCTTTTCAAGTGATTGTAGGGCAGAGGACTCAAAGTAGGTGCAGCAATTCTCGTGAGGTGACTCAGGGCCCCAGCCTACATACTGCTTTTGGTGGGATAATTTTCAGCCGGTACCTCTGGTGTTCCTCCTCCCAACAGTCACAGAGAATTCAAACAGCCTCTCTCTTGTGCAACAGTGCGTGCCTGGCACTGCAGGTGGCACCCAAAGCTGCAGGCAGCATGATTCGCGGTTTGTAGAGCAGGTTGGATCTGGCTGGAGAGAAAGATCAATGAATCACTCACATAATAAGACAGCAGAGGAGCCAGGGGCAGAACTAGAAATGCATTGTGGCTAAAAATCTACAAGTCGGGGGGGCTGAGTCCCCCCACGGTGAACGGGTTATGAGACTCCGGCAGAAACGTCTCATTAGGAAGAAATAAGCCGGGAGGCTTGGATCGCGGGTCTAGCCCTATCCCTGTGGCGCCTACGCTGTGGACTGGACCGAAGGATCTCCCTGCGGCCACTTTTTAGCCGGGGCTCCCGGAGAGCAGGGCCTGGGCCCAAGCTTTCCCCGGGGACCGGAGCCCGGGTGAGGGGCGCGGGATGCAGGAGGCCCGGAGGCGCCCACGCCCTGAGTGGGGTGGAGGTGGGGCTGTGGTCCAACATACAAGGCTGAAGGAAGGCTCAGACAGAGAAACTGATGGCCCTGGGCCAGCTGGGGTGCCAGCAAGCCCCGCGGAGATGCTCTTACTGCAAACGCTAGCCGCGCCGCGCCAACGCCTCCGGTGCCTGGCCGGAGACTTCCGGCGGGCAGGCAACCGCGATGCACTGCGACACCAGGAGACTGACTTCCGGCGGAAGTGCTGGGGGCCGCCTCAGGGTGAGATCCGGCTGCTTGTACCCTTCCGAACTCTCCAGTGTCCTCATTCTCTAGTCCAGCCACACAGCCTGGAAAACTCGAATTGTAGAGCACTAGTGCCAGATTCTTACAAAAGAACCGTTCTGGTGTAGGCGAGAAGGCCGGGGTTGTGAAACACCGAGCGACCCTGCTACCTGGGCAGAGCCCACGCCGGCTCCGCTCATACCCGAGCAGGGGACCCTGGCCAACAAGAGCGGTCAGAGTTTGGGCGCTCGTACACTTTTCTTCGTGATGGGCAGTTTGCTTTCAGCCAACCACATGTGTCCGAACCGTCCCAGCATTTTAACACATCAGAGGCATTTAAAAGACAGTATGTATCCATCAGAGTTTGACGTTCCGCTCCACGTGTGTCTGCTCCTGCTGTTTCCGAACAGCTTTGAACATGCTGCCTCTGGAGACAGTGACAATTCCTTGCGCACAAACCTTGAGGATCAGAGGCTGTTAAATGACAGACAGGCCTGGGGTGACAAGGGGTGCTTCCAAACATAGCATTTAGAATGTCCCTGTGGGTGTTCCCTGGCTCTGAACGCTTCTGAATCCGCGGAGACCAGTCTCTTCGTGATGCCTCTGAAAACTTGTCTGTGCCTGAGCTAGTCCTGCCCTCCCTTTGAGGGAGAAATGTCTGATCTCCAAACACTGACCTTAAAGCTCTTTTCCTGTCTACCCTTGCTACCTAACCTAGCTTCTTGATTCTTTTTCTTTATCCTTTAAAAAAAAAAAAAAAAAAAACTCCTAGCCAAGCTGGACACCTTCTCCTGTACTCATTGTGTCCAGGGCTTTCAGAAACTTGTGAACAGAGAATTTGTAAAAACAAAACAACAAAAAACCCGAAGATTTGATTTGACTAGGGAAGACTGTGGTTGTGGGTGGAGTCCCATCACATAATCCAGAGTGGGCTGGATTTCACCACTGTCTGAAGCTAATTTATTATCCTAAAACGGAGGCTCCCAGGCTTCGGAAAATTCCACTGCCTCAAGCAGGTTACCTGGCACCCCCGCAGCTTTACATTAACATCCTGGGTCCCCTATCCTTAACTGCTGCCCAGAACTAGAGGAAATTGGTGGAAACCGGTTTAGGTGCCATGTTGACATTCTGGACAACTTTGTAGCTCAATAATTACCTCATATATAGTATCTTCCCCGCCTCTGGGTGGAGTTTAACCACCATTTTCTGAACATGTGATACAAAAAGTTATATGTAAACCCCATTGGGCCTTTGTAGTACGATTAAGAGTGTTGCTGATGTAACTTGTATGAACTTCCTACTTGTAAACGCCGTAAAAGTGACCTTCCCTCTCGCCCTCATTGAGCAGTCTTGGCGGTGGCAGCCCCAACTGTTCATTTCTTTGCGCAATGAAAAAAGCGCCTCTCTGAGCACCCACCTCGGTCTCTTGTTTATTGGCTGAGAGGAGTCACGCCGAGCAAAACCTAGAGTTTCCACGCAGCAGCAATCCTGCTGGTTATTACTGAGCTGGGGGTTAAATATTTAGCGTTAGATTTTTTTTTTTTTTTTGCTCATCAGTGCAGAACTTTAACTGTTGATTTTTCTCTGGATAGTTTCTTGAAACTAACTTTGAATCTTGGTTTGATCACCTATCATATTTTGTGTTGTGTTGCCTTTCTTTAGGAAACCCTGGTGGCGTTGTGGTGAAGAGCTATGGCTGCTAACCAGAAGATGGGCAGTTCAAATCCACCAGGTGCTCCTTGGAAACTCTGTGGGATAGTTCTACTCTGTCCTATAAGTTAGCTGTGAGTCTGAATCGACTCTACAGCAAAGAGTTTGATTTTTTTGGTTTGCCTTTCTTTAAATTTTTAGAAAATTTATAGAAGTAATATAGTATTGTATTTCCTATGTTGAAGAGTAAAACTATACAAAACCAAACGAAAAATTGTCCTTGAGCACAAGCCCTCCCAAATTCCATTCCCTTGGCAGAATTAATCACTCTTTTTAAAAATCTGTGGAGTCCCTGGGTGGTGCAAATGATTAATGCACTTGGCTGCTAACTGAAAGGTTGGAGGTTCAAGTCCACCCAGAGGTGCCTCAGAAGTCACATTTCTTCCAGGGCCTGGTGCTCTATTCTGAGAAAAAATTAAAAAATAAAAATCCTGTGTAGCACAGTTCTACTTCGACACACTTGAGGCTGCCATGAGCTTCAGTCAACTCAAAGGCTACTGATTTTTTAATGTGTATTCTCCAAAAGCCTCTTATATGCAAGTATACACATGTATGCAACAGGTCCCTGAGTGACACAAACAGTTTGCACTCGATTACGAATCAAAATGTTGTCAGTTTGAATCCACCCAGCAGCACCTCGTTAGATTACAGCCATTGAAAACCCTATGGAGCTCAGTTCTACTCTGAAATATGTGGGGTCGCCATGAGTCTGAATCGACTTGAAGCCAATGGGTGTTACACCCCACCAGACAAGTGGCAGGAGTGGCTCTGAGGGGCACAGTTCGGATTCAGAAAAAAGAGGTGGGAAAAGCCAGGTTGATCAGAACTAGCTTTTATTTGGGAATTCACAGGCAGAAGTGGGTGCCAAGATTTCCAAGATGGACAGCAAAGTGCCAAGTCACCAGATTAGAGGCCTGCACATAGCAGTGCAAGGTAGGGGTTTATATACTTAGTGCTTATGTGCAACGATTTATGTGCAGGAGTACCAGGAAAAACATGTCTAATATATGATGGATGGGGTTGTTTTTGTTAATGGGTTCCGGTTGATGTTACCATGACATCAGGCGTTTAGTGTGTTTTTTCCTGGCCCAGGTCACTGCTCAGTAGGGTACTCTGGTTCCCTCCCAGACTCCTTTGTGGGCGGGATCCATCTTGTATTGTTCAGGGCCCTCTCAAACAGTTTTGGTTTTGGCTTATTCATTGAACAAATGTTGTTGTTGTTAAGTGTCCTTGAGTCAGTCCAACTCATAGCGACCTTATGTACGACACAATGAAGCACTGCCCAGTCCTGTGCCATCATCACAATCGTTGTCATGCTTCAGTCCATTGTTGCAGCCACTGTGTCAGTCCATCTTGTTGAGGGTCTTCCTCTTTTTCGCTGGCCCTCTACTTTACCAAGCATGATGTCCTTCTCCAGGGACTGATCCCTCCTGATAATATGTCCAAAGTATGTGAGATGTAGTCTCACCATTCTTGCTTCTAAGGAGCATTCTTGTTGTACTTGTTCCAAGACAGATATGTTCGCTCTTTTGGCAGTCCACAGTATATTCAACATTCTTTACCAACACCACAATTCAAAGGTGTCAGTTCTTCTTCGGTCTTCTTTATTCATTGTCCAGCTTTCGCGTGCATATGAGGCGACTGAAAACACCATGGCTTGGGTCAGGCGCACCTTAGTCTTCAATGTGACATCTTTGCTTTTTAACACTTTAAAGAGATCTTTTGCAGCAGATTTGCCCGATGCAATGCGTCTTTTGATTTTTTGACTGCTGTTTCCATGGGTGTTGATTGTGGATCCAAGTCAAATGAAATCCTTGACAACTTTAATCTTTTCTCCGTGTATCATGATGTTGCGTGCTGGTCCAGTTGTGAGGATTTTTTGTTTTCTTTATGTTGAGGTGTAATCCATACTGAAGGCTGTGGTCTTTGACCTTCATTAGTAAATGCTTTAAGTCTTCTTCACTTTCAGCAAGCAAGGTTGTGTCATCTGCATAATGGAGTTTGCTAATGAGTCTTTCTCCAATCCTGATGCTGTGTTCTTCTTCATAGAGTCCAGCTTCTCAGATTATTTGCTCATCATATGGATGGAATAAGTATGGTGAAAGGATAAAAATATGTACTAAGTACTTAATATGTGCCAACCTGTGTTCTAAGCACTGGGAACATAGCAATGAACAAAACAGATAAAAACTGTTGAACCTTATGGAGTTTACATTCTCATGTGCATATACAATGTATTGTTTTACAGAAATGGCAGGTTATTGTTCACATGGTTCTGCATCTTGCTGTTTTTCACTCAACAATATGCCTTGGTGATTTTTTCATACCACTACTGTATAGATCTACTACACTGTATTTACCTACTCTGTGTATTTCAGTGGTGGTTCAGTGTTAGAATTCTCACCTTCCATGGGGAAGACCTGGGTTTGAATCAGGCCAATAGCACTTTATGTGCAGCCACCATCTGTCCGTGGAGACTTGCGTGTTGCTATAGTGCTGAACAGGTTTCAGCAGAGCTTCCAGACTAAGATGGACTAGGAAGAAAGGCCTGGTGATCTACTTCTGAAAATCAGCCAGTGAAAACCCTGTGGATCACAATGGTCATTCCCTTGTGCATGGGGTTGCCAAGAGTTGGGGCTGACTCAACAGCAGTTAACAACAAAGTGACAAATGGGAGCAGGCATGTTTGTCCTAAGCAAAAGTAGCTGCTGCTCAGCTCAAGGATGTTAACTTGAACTAATGGATACAGCATTTCAGTGTTTTAAGAGCATATGGAAATCTGTATTTTATAACATAAATCTCCTGATTTTTTAATGTTGGCAACCAATTCAAGATTTTAAAACACTGTTCAGGCTAAGTATAACACCCCTACAGACCAAATTTAGCCCAAGGGTGACCAGCTTGCAACCTTTAATTGAGCTGTTCTATTGGCAAACATTTAGGCTAGTTTCAGTATTTGCTATTATAAACAACACTACAGTGGAAATACCTGCACGAGCTTCATTCCACATAAGTGGGAGTATTTTTCTAGGGCAGTCACAAGGAAGTATAATTTCTTCACCAAAGAATATACAGGTGTCTTAGGATGGGTTCTCTAGAGAAGCAAAACCAGTAAAACATATAAATATATACATATATATATAGAGAGAGATTTATAACAAGGAAATACCTCATGCAATTGTAGAGGCTGGAAC